CACTGCAGATAAGGATTGCTCCCTACACCATCTGTTTCCCTGCTGGGTAGGAGCGAACCATGAATGGATGAGGGGAAGGCTCAGATTGTATCAATGGCAAACCATCCTAAAAAAAATTGTCCTGCTAAAAATGTTTGGTTGATTTATTTGATTTGTACGCTAACTTTTCTACCAAGGCTATGCACTCAAGGTTAGAGATACTTATGTGAGTAGGGTGCATCCTATAGTCTCTGGCCCCAGCGCTCCGACTCCAAAGGCAGAATCTCCAGCTGCTCAAGGAATTGTTTGGGTTCAGTGTCGTGATTGGTGAAGGATCATACCATTTGTTAGGACCTCCATGGCAGGCTTAGGGTTAGCAAAGCTGTTGCATCTGGACTTATTTCCATATTACGACTGAAAATTATGACATTGTATACAAAGCTCATAAATAAAACATTTAAAATTACCATTCTTTTACTTTGATCCAAACTTGTACAACCTACAACAAGCCTTAGTTTTGAGTAGACATGTAGAAGATTTCACTGTTAGCCTAGGTTAGGCTGTTATCATTGCATATTTTCTGTCTGCATCGCCAAATTTGCATAACTACCCTTTATCAGGAGGGTAGACTATTAAGAACTCCAAACCTGGCAAGCAAGAATGAATTGGTGATTTACAAACTATCCTAAAAAAAGATGGCCTGTTCTAGATTTCAGCATACTTTGCATGTCATCCCAGCCACCTGGTTGGTTTTGGGCCCCATGAAACCCCACACCCATTGAGGGTAATAATGCTAATTATGCAGGTTGCCACTATCATGTGTGGGGAGAGAAAATAAGCTGCTGTGGATTATTTTCCCCTATAAATATTTTCCCTACTCTTTGTTCAGCAGTGGGATATGATGAGCTACTGTGCTTGTTTCTCTGCTGCCAAATTGTAGTGTAGCTTTAGCACCTGTAGAAACAACTGTCATTCCATATCTATTAAGCAATTTGTAGCTATGCTAAAAACCACAATTAGCTGAAGAATTGTCTGACATGATACCAAGTATAAATTAAATGAGTAGGCAAACAAGGATTTTATTTGTCTCCTCTTTCCCTGCAGGCAGGGAATTTGGAAGATTCATGTAGCAGAGACTGCCTTCTAAGCAGGAGGCCTCTGGCAGAAAATGCTCAGCCTTGCAATGTGCCTGTTCATGTGAAGCAGTGCAAACCTTGCTGATGTGGAAATGTGCCCTGTGGTCATGCAAAGCAGCTTCGATTATGTCTTCTTAATAGTCCCATGTCGGCACCTGGCATCCTCAAGTGGCTGCAAAGGCCCCAACATCCAGTCATGGCTCACTCCCAACCTGTTTCATAGGATGGGTGCAATCCTTTGTGTGTTCACCTGAGAACAGGCTCTTCTGAACACTGTGGAGGCTGTGTTCTGAATTTTGCATCCTTAAAGTCAGATTTTGACATAAACTAATTTATGTTGGACCGAGTGGTGACTACTGAATAACCAGAATGTAATTATTTTTAAACTCTAATTATTTTTTTAAATATGCCTCTTTCCCCATTTCCTGAGATTAGAGTTGTTCAGACAAAGAATGTAACTTAGAAGCAGAGCAATATGCAGCCTGCTGGATTTCAGATTACAATTCCTATCACCCCTGCCTATTGGCCTTGTTGGCTGAGGCTGGCTGAATTTACAAGCAGGGGTTTTGGTAGGGCCTTAAAAGATGCAGAGTCAGGGCATGTAAAACGTATCCACATAACATTTGCAAATGCTAATTTATATCTAAACATGCACACTGCGAAACAATTCATTGAATAGAAATTCGGCCAATTCATTTTTCATCCAATTCACTTGAGAAAAAAAATATTCAATTAATTTGCACACCACCACAGCTCACCAAATCAGCAGTTTATCTTAAACTGTGATTGATTTGTAATGGTGTGAGGAAATGTATAACACAGACATGTTGGAGTGGGGTTGAGCCTTTTCAGACATACACAGGCATACACAGATGCCCACATAAAAGTGGCAGTTTTCAAATCAAAATGGAGTTTCAAAGTTTGACAGAGTGCTTAATTTAAGAGTAAGTAAAAAACAAATCAGGGCTTCAATTCCAATTCATTTATCAGTTCCTACCCAAATTGTAAGCAATTCCCCCTTCAGTTAAATAGTCCATTCATCAGTCATCATTACCTATGCAAATTAAAGTAAAAAAAAAGTCGTGCACAATTTTGTGACAGCAGTGGCATCTGTTGCATGCAGCTGGTGGTTCATAATGCTGAAGGAGAAGTTGGGGAGGTAAAGCTAAGGAAGCAGGAAAAAACAGGTTGAATTAAGTGTGTGAGGGGAGCTCATGAGACAGAAGGAAGAGACAGGCAAAGTGGGTGTGTGGCAAGGATTGGGCAGCAAAAAGGGAACGGAGGCAACCTGGAAAGAGAAAAAGGTGGCAACAAACAGCAGCATTGGTAGAAGGATGGTTCTGCTCTTCCATTTCTGGAGTTCTTTCCATGCAGTGGAGACATGTATGTGTTCTGGTTTGGAGGGGAGTCACAAGTCTACACAGAGAGGGAGGGAGGGAGGGTGACACAATCAGAATAGTCTGGTGCTGCACTGAGCAAAAACCACAATACAGAGTGCAGACACACACAACCAGGATCTAACGGTGGAATATTTGGAAGACTTCCTGGCCATACTGTAGAACTGTTTAAGAGACCAATACAGTGGTACCTTGGCTCACGAACTTAATTCGTTCCAGGACTCTGGTCGTGACCCAAATTGGTCGTGAGCCAAGTCAAATTTCTCCATAAGGTTCAATGTAAATAAGGTTAATCCGTTCTGTAAGTATTTTTTTAATCAGAAAAATGTGAAGCAAAGTGACAACAACAGCGGCCATCTCCCCCACACCCCGAGCAGAAGCACGGCCATCTCCCCACCCTTCAGCACGACTGGGATCGTGCCAGTCGTCCCTGCATGCACCCATCATCCCGGCGTGCTGCGGGGGAAAAGACAGGTGTGAACATGGGCACGCTGGGAGGGGGAGAGATGGGCAGGAATGCAGGAACGCTTGGGAAGGGGAGACAGGCATGATCGTGCTGCAGGGGGGGGGGGGCGGGAGAGATGGCCAAGATCACGGTTGCGCTCATGCAGGAAAGCCAGGCACAATCATGGGCATGTTCATGCAGGAAAGATGGGCGTGATCTCGGCCATCTCCCCCCCCCCCCAGCATAATCGTGGCCATCTCCCCACTTGGGGGGTGGGGAGATGGCCACGATTGTGGTCACCACCCAATGCGGCGTTCGCGGCCTGAATAAATATTTTAATGAAATCTTTGTTTGCGACCAGATTTGGTTGTGAACTGAGGCATTTGTGAGCCAAGGTATACAGATCTTGACCTCTTCCCTGCTCTGGCTCCATCTCTCTCTGTCCTTCCCCATTGTTTCTCTTCACTCTTTCCTACTGGGAGGAAAGCCCCATTTCGTGGCTTTCTTCTTTGCCATCAACTGATTTTAATCAGCCATCTTAATTGCTCCAAGGGCCACTGTGCCTGAGGAGGGGAAGGCTCACCTGTACATCTTCTCTGACTGGCAATTAACCTTTAGTGATTCTTACCATTAGCACAAACGGAAATGTTTTAAGGTACTCTTAACTGCCATACAGGGAGCATTTTTGATGTAGGGTTGTTCAGTAGGGGCAAATATGCACTCCTTTTGGAAATGCACCCCCTGCATGCAAGCTGATAGCCAAGCTGAAAGTTTGGGGAGGGGAGAGGCTGTTCATCTGATTTGCTGACCTTTTAAAACAAAACTGTACAATTCTATTTGCAATGTACAGCTGTGAGAGCTTGGACCATAAGGAAGACTGAGTGCCAAAGAACTGATGCTGAAGGTCATGTACTAAAGCTGATGCTCAAATACTTTGGCTACCTAATGAGAAGGAAGGACTCATTGGAAAAGACCTTGATGCTGGGAACGATTGAAGGCAAACAGAAGGGGACGGCAGAAGTTGGGGTGGCTGGATGGGGTCACTGGAGAAGTGGGTGTGGACTTGGGTGTACTCCGGAGAATGGTGGAGGGCAGAAAAACCTGGAAAAATGTTGCCCATAGGGTCGCAAAGAGTCGGGCACGACTTTGCGACTGAACAACAATTTTATACTTGTTTGTAACACTATTTAGGAAGGGAATTACGGGGGCAGCCCACCCCTGGCCTGCCTGCGAGGGGCCCGTTGGTACGAATGGGCGGTGGGGAACCGGTCCCAGGTTCTGGAGAGGAGCCCCTGCGTTGTGTCGCCTGCAAGACCTCTGCCGCTCCCAACAGGAGCCCTGCACAGCAGTTTCCGCCGCCATCCCACGCACCGTGTATCGTTTCCTCGACTCGCTCCGTATGGTCGCTTCGCAGCTTGCCTGACAGCACGCCAGGGAGCCGCCGAACGCCCGTCCCCGCTCAGGGAGCCAACAGCTGCGCCTCTCTCAGGCTCCACACTGCCGGCAAGGGGCGGCGGGCCAGGACAGGCACCCGACGCTTCTGAAACTCTGAACGGGGCGCACAACCGAGAAGAGGAGCGGGCGAAGCACGCCCTTTCTTTCCCCGACGGGCGCACGGCGCGAACGGCGTCTCCAACAGGAAGGCGGGACGGGGCTGCACAGACGCCTCCGAGTGCGGGGCGCGCTCGGCTTTCCGCGCCGCCGCTGCAAAAGTTTCGGGCTCTGGCGCGTGCGTGCATTTGCCCGGCTGCTTCCTTGCCCGCTTGCTCTCCGTTCTGGCCGCTTGTGCAGCCCACGTGCGCTCGTGGAGTGGCTTGAATTAGCGACAAGGCGGCTGCTTCTCCTGCCCCCCCCCCCCTTTTGCCGGAGCCTTCCTTCTTGAAGCTCTCCGGCTTACCTGTCTGGATTCCGCCTTTCTTTCTAATAAGAGCATTCATAAGACTATGCCCCCGGCTGCAGCCTGTCGGGAGAGCGGACAGCTTCGGCCGGCCCTGCCCAAGGCTCGGAGGATCGCAGGCTGACTGGCCGCGCCGCCGCCTCGCGATGCGGTCCCTGAACATCACGCCGGAGGGGTTCGCGCAGCTCCTGCGGGAGAACAACGTGACCCGCGAGCAGTTCATCGCGCGCTACGGGCTGCAGCCGCTGGTCTACATCCCCGAGCTGCCCGGCCGCGCCCAGCTGGCCTTCGCGCTCGCCTGCGCGCTCATCTGCGCCCTGGCGCTCTTCGGGAACGGCCTGGTGCTCTACGTGGTGGCGCGCCGCAAAGCCATGCGCACCGTCACCAACATCTTCATCTGCTCGCTGGCGCTCAGCGACGTGCTCATCGCGCTCTTCTGCGTGCCCTTCACGCTGCTGCAGAACGTGTCCCGCAACTGGCCTGGCGGTGAGTGGGGCGGCGGCGGCCGGGGCGCGCGGGTCTCGCCGGTGTCGCCTCGCCCTGCCGGCTGAGCCCAAGTGACCAGGGAGCAGGCTGGCCCCGTAAGGAAAGCCGAACCCGGAAAACTTGCAAGCGACGGAAACAGCGCGTAGCGCTAATCGTGATAGGGTTTACTTCGGGGTAGGCGCACACAGGATAGCTCGGTCAGTGGCTGCTGCGGGCTTATTGGCGGACTATTTTACCCCTTATTTCATTTGCATTTAATTTTGGGGGGGGGCATGATCCAAAGTGTGAATCTGTTTAGTATTGCTTAAGGAAATTGTTCACATTTTAAATTCCCTTCCGTCTTAAAACAGTTTCCTTCATGCAGTTCTGCTTAGGGAGGGGAGGTGGTGGTAAAATTCTACATTCTTTCTCGTTCTGGAATAGTTCTTGGGTGGGTGGGTGGGGGGCAGCAGAGAGATCCTGATAATGTATAGTACTGTGGTGGATGGTGTACAGTGGGAAGATCGGAATGATGCTGATTATCCCATTTTTAATGCTAACGCATATGTAAGGATAGGAGAGAAGCCATGCTGGATCAGACCAGTGGTCCACCCAGTCCAGCAATCCTTTCTCATGGGGGCAAGCAAGGGTGGTGTTACTGTGGATGTTCTCTTGTCATGTCTTTTCTACCTTTTCCTTTATTGTATTTTATTTATTGTATTTACTGCCCATTTTCTTCCTCTTGCAAAGTGCTTTTACATAATCATCTTCATTTTATCCTCACAACACCACCCCTGTGAAGAAGACTAGGCTGAAAGGGAGTGACTTGCCAAGGTTGAGCTTAATGGCCAAGTGGGGACCAGAACCCAGATCTGCCTAAATCCCAGTTCAGTGCTTTAAGCACAGTAGCATGTTGGCCCTTTAAAAGTGGGTTGAAGACAACAACGACAATAACAATGCATCTTTAGCTCTGAGCACAAGTAGAAAGCTATTGCTTATGAACAGCTATGGCCCAGCGCAAAAGAGCAATGCCAATTAGAAGCTCCCCTTCTTCTATCCGTGCTCTTCTCACTGCAGCATTTAGCCTTGGAAATATAAGGCTTACAATATGACCCTAACCTTCATCTGCCTACGAGAGAGCTGCTTGGCTATTTTGTGGTTGAAAAAGGCAAACTCTGGCTTTCCTCACCCTGGTGGTCCTGCAAGAAGCATCATGATGACTAGGAGCATAGCATGCTGGATGTGCAGGACATTTTATGAATTGGAGGCCTCTTCGCTTAGTGGAGTGGGCTGGAACTGGTGATGCAGGACTTGATATGTATAAATACAAAACATCAGCCGGGGAAGCACATCTTCTTTTAGACTTTTCATATTAGGCTTAACTGGGGGTATAAGTGTAGTGGGTATATTCCATTGCAGCTTACCCAATTGTATAATATAGCAATGTAGTAAAACATTTTAAAATATGAATATGTTTTCAGTCCTGCTCCTACACAGTGACCCAGAAGATAAATAGACAGAGGGAAGGGGAACATTTGGTGCAGGTGACGACTCCTTTGCTGTTGTGCAAGGTTAGTTGGAGGGACAACCACTTACTGAAGTGGCAACCAGGGTAACACAGGAGGAGTTTGGGGGCATTGCCCTCTAAAAGAGAGGGTGAAAGCAAGAAGGAGCCATAGCAACAAGAGTACAGCTTGCTATAGTTGGGCCAATGGTTTCTTGTTCAGTGGGTGAAGTGCATACGTGTGCAAGCTCTGAAGCCATAGAGCTGCCCCTCTCTCTCTGTTTGCTCCTTATCAGAGGCTTCAGGAGAAATGTGAACAAAGACATTGACATTCACTGAGGATAAGTGTCTAGAACACAACTGCAATAAATATTTTAAGTCACATTTTAAGGGGGAGCTGCATTCTAATGGGTATGTGTGTAATTCAACCAATGGATGTGAGTGCTGCAAAAATGTAGGCAAAGTCCATGATTAAAATTAAGCTTTCCCTCAAGCAGGAGAGGAAAATAATAGCCATTTGTATAGTGGCTGATTGTTAAAAGTATGTCAAGTTCACGTACACTTGTTCTCTTTGCAACAATCTTTTGCTCTCTTTGCAATCATCCTCTAAGGTAGGTGAGTATTATCACCATAGTGCTGATGGGAGGTTGAGAGGGAGAGGCTTCCTAGGGTGTTCATCACAAATGATTGATGAGCCTCATGATTCCACCTGTTTCTCACCCACTGCATTGCATTATACCAGTAGTGTTTTCCCAAAAAAAAGTACACTGCCCCCAGGAAAATAAATAAATACAAAAAATCAGCCAGGGAAATACATCTTTTAGACTTTGCACACTAGACTTACCTGGGAGTGAATATATGAATGCATGGGAGTCTTCAGTGTACTTCTTCCTGGCATTCTTTGGAGGGGGGAGTGTGCTTGCCCATTATCACTAAGGTGAATTTCTTTGCATATTTAGATGGAAAAGAATTCTACAGCTTTAAATGAACTGGATCCAGCTCTGTGTACTAATGAATGCTTACATGACTTGCTTCCTCCTCAGATGAATAAGGGCAGGGAAAGTCTATGTGCACATTCGAACACTTAGAATTAATTGTTGAGTGGCATATGCACACATGTCTATTCTGAATGTGTATTCAGAAATGAGAGACAATCACTTAAGTATTAATAACTTATAAAAATCAATAACTGGGGGTAGTTAAAGCCTGTTGAAGAACTCAAACTACTATGGCCCAGATCACAGTTTCAAACGGTTGCTAACACTTCTGTGAATGGCATAATCCCTGTGTTACTTGCTGAACTGTGACCAGTGATGGCTGGTACATGTTGGAACTGCTGGGGTGGAAACCAGGGTAGCGAACAGTAGGTGAAATCAGGGGTAAAAGCAGGGGACCTAAGAATAGGCAGATTCATAGCCCCATTAAAAAGCCTTCCTCCAGCTTTTAGGTTAGTTGCTTGACTCCCCGTTGCACTCTGTGTATACAAGGCATTCTGCCTTTGCCCCCAGTATATCATAGCAGTCACCCCCCATAGAAACACATTTCAGTGATGCAGGTTTTCCCGAAAAAGTTGAATTGGATATTTTTTCCAGAAAAAATTCTGGAAAATGTTCCTATGAAAATTAGACTAATTTGCACTGGGTGATTCACAAGCAAGTACTTAATCTCACACATTGTTTAAATTTAAGAAAGATAAGAGTACTGGAAACTGTTGATACACTAATCTGTTTTAGCAACCCAAAGAACTGTGCATGATATGCCAAACCCTAATCCATTGCAACAGAATTTGGACTTCTTCCACTAATGTTATTGGACACTTTCAGTTTTACTGTCATTTAGTAGTTCTGTTTCATAGTTTAAGACCTATATGTGTTTGAAAAACATGCATATGTCTCACATCATACTTACTAGGGATACAATTTCCTGGAAAACATTACAGCTCTGAAACCACAGATATATAGAAACAGCAATTAAGGTTATACATTGTATTCTGTGTTAAAGCCAGTCTTTATGGCCAGGAATTCTGTTTTGCTTCTAGTTTCTCACAGTAGAAAACAACCTGGCTTGTGATCTTCCAAAAGCACCTTTGCCCCTTTGCCAAATGACAAATACCACCTTCTTTATAATTCATCTTTCCTCATTTTTGAAAGGGTCATCTTGGCTCTCACAGTCCATTTCCAGATCCCAGAACTCAGTGTCACTGAACCCCTCCCTCTCTCCCATCACTCCTTTTATCATTTCCTTTTCAAGCTATTATCTCTGTCACTGATTCTTTGTAGGATATAGTCAAAATCTCTATTGACTTGCAGCACTGTTCAGATGATGAAGGAATGTGAAACTGCTGGTAGGTGACCTGAGCTACCAGGATAGGCTGGAATATTACTTGCTTAGTTTGATTTACAAGTTATAATTCTCTTACATCTGTTCAGGACTTTGTTCATGGGTCAGTCTTGCTTTCCTTCAGTATCTCCCATGTCAGCAGAACCTCACAGTTGTGAAAATACATGGGTGCATCTAATGGTCAGAGCAATCGCAACTACCTCTAGGTCTTGTCTGGTGTGCTTAGTCTAGACTGCTGTTGGCAGCCATCTAGATAAGCACTGGGGAACAGGAAGGAAGGCGACTGGGGCACAGATAGGGATTGGTGTAGGTGGACAACCCTCAGCCTCCTCCCTGGACTCCCTCCACCACATCCATTTCCCTCTCTCCAAGGCATAGTTGCACTCTTGGAGATACAACCATGGTTTTTTTCCATGCCAGGTGCAAGGGGATGGGTCAGGGCTTGGCCTTTAGCACATAGGGGCTCCAGCAACTCCTGTGCTGCCCCTGATGATGTCAGGAGGCCATTGAGTCTTAGTGGATGATTATTGGATTAGTGGATGATGATGAGTCTTAGTGGAATATGAGCCAACAGCTAGGAAAGCTAATGCAGTCTGGGGCTGCATTTAACGGAAGGAAGGATAATGTGCCATGTGACCCATTGACAAATTGGAACAGCTGGAGAAGAACAACAGGAATAGTGAGAGGTGTGGAAACCATGCCGTATGAGGAGCAGTCACAAGAGCTATCTAGGGTTGGCTTGCAGAAGTAAATGTTAAGAAGAGATACGATAGCAGTCCGGAAACAGCTGAAAGTCTCTCATGCAGAAGGTGGATCAAGCTTGTTCTCTGTTGTTCCAGAGGGAACTGACAGAAATTGTGAGAAAGCTGATTCCAGCTTAACAACAGGAGAAATTTGGTAACTGTGAGATCTGTTCAGCGGTGGAACAGATGGCCTTGGAAGGTGGTAGGTTTGCCTTTTTGGAATTATTCAAGCAGAGGCTGGTTGGCCATCTGTCAGGGATGTTGTAGCTACATCCTGCAGTGCCGAGGCCTGCATTAAGCAGGGTATGGACTACAACCCAGTGACCTCCATGTAGATCTTTGCTCCCTACCCTTCACATTTTAAAAAATAAAATCCTTGGAAAATGTTAGAGAAGTTGTTTCATTGTATTTTTGTCTTCTCATTGTTCCCTGCC